CTATTTGCTGTTTCCAATGTGGCTAGTTGCCAAATTCAATAGTTTCTGAATACCCTCTTGTGCTCAGAGGAAAACCAGAACCGATATCGATATCGATACCCGAAACCAACAATAAAACCGGATTCTAATTCGAATGCAGATTCGGGGATTTACAGATTCTGTTGCCGGAGGGGGGGCTTTTTGTTTGCTTCTTTTTACGGAAACGTCTGCGATCCCATCAAATATATATGTTCCTGATCAGCATCACCAGCCGAGTCGATGTAGCTCAGAGTCGGGCAGATCAGATTGCTATATCATAATGTTTTATTAGAACAATAGCTCAAAATATGATAAATACCCTTTGTTTAACTAGATAAACCTAAACCAAACTTATCAATTGGACTCCAATTGGATATAGTCTAAAAGGGTATGCAGTCTTCGGCGTGCCTAAGAAAGCCGTTCTGCCTTAATTCTTTTGTTGTCATTCTGCTCGCCAATCTAATTGGTGTTGCCTAGTGAGTATTTCCTTAAGCTGACTTTAAACAGGTGGGGATAGCGTTACAATCTTTCATTACCTGACTAAGGTATACCCCTACCATCATTTGATATTGTCCATCTAAAATCTTGTTTTGTGAATACACATGGAAAAACACCTTTGGTCACCTTTGGAATCTGGAATATATTTGAGATTGGAACATCATTTTGTGAATTTATTTGTTTTTCGACTTTTACCACTTCAAAGAACTTTGTTGACCCGCCAACGAAAGCATACACCCAATGGAGGCGCCTTGTGTACAGGTATTCCAACTATATAGCCAGTTAGATATTATTTATGGCCTGAAACTATGACAATAGCCAAAGGAACTACAGTAACAACGACAACAACAACAAATAAACATCTTTTTACCAGATTTCGAATTTAATCTGTCTGAATTTTGGAGCTGGGCGGGGGCAGAGGAATTATGAACAAACGAGCCCGTGCCACATGACGCGCCATAATACCATAAAATCTCAATTATAATAATTTAAATTAATAATTTGCAAAATGTTCCATATCTGACAGCTCAACCGGGCTCAAAGAGTCGAGCTTAGCTCGTAGTATAATTAGTTTTAGAAAGGTGCTCTTAATATTAATATGAATATTAGGATTCAAATGTGTATTCGATATATTTATGGGCTGTACTTAAGCAAATGTGTTTTCATTAAATATTTAAATATTAAATATATTGCATTTAATTAAACGGAAGTCAGGTTTATGAAAAGTGTTCTTAAATGGGGCAGCTAATGGATTTTCGACTTGGCTGATTTGTGAATCGCTTAGAGGGCACTTAAGTAACATACGTTAGGGAATTTTTAATTGGCTAATAGATATAGTACTGACTATATACATAGATAGAATGTACTTAAACCACGTGTTACCCTCATGTAAGTGGGATGAGGCTTGAATGGCTAGGCCCAAATGAGTGTTCAATTAAGAAGTATTATGCTAAAAAGAAGCTAAGCACTTAGAAAATTAATATCTGTCTATAATAGTCTCATTATACTCAAGTATGTTAATTTCCAACTGACTTTTCATGGAAAAGTCACAAAGTTTTTATTAAACCGTTTCGCAGATGCAACTCTGTCTAGCAATCTATAGAAGCAAGAGGCAAGAGGCAAGAAGCTCTCGATGTGGGTAGGTAGTGGATTAATTTTGGATTTTATGCAAGCCATTCAAAGTTAGCGCATAATTACGTGCCACAAATCATGCGCACCTTGAACTTTACATAATTTTACATACGGCGATCGATTAGGCAGACATCCGAGAGAGAAGTTCAGAAAGAATCGTAAATAGATGCGAGTTCGGTTCTTGGAAATCTCGTTTGCTTTGTCTCTCTGTCTTTCTGTGTTGCTTGATAATTGCTAATTTATCGATTTGCCTGTTTTAATTGCCTTTTTTTTATTATCTTTCGATGGACAATAACAAAAATATATACAAATAAATATCTTGCAAAAACAACGAACTTCGCATGCGGTGAATTTCAAAGGCGATGCGTAACAAGTTGTTGTTGTTGTTGCTGTTGTTGCTATTATTGTTGCTATTATTGTTGCTGTTGCTGTTGACGTTTTCTTCTTTTTGTTGTTTTTTTTTTTGTTTTTAATCTGTTGATTTGCTTTAGGAATTAATACGAATCAGATGAAACACTTTCTTTTCGCCTGTCAAAGAAAATCAACAGCGAATTAACATTGCAAATTGACTGAAAACAGAGCAATAATTGCTATGTTATCGATAATGAATCGATATTTGCATAAGACAGAAACCTGTCGGAAATCTGATATCTGCGTTGGAGACTTTTACTATTTGGTAGTCACTAGGGGAATGGGTCTGCTGTTACTTTGGTAAACTTTAGTACTTTTCCTAGAATCGGGATTGCGAATTAGTTTGTTTTAAATATTCACACAATTTATGCAAGAAAATAAAATATATTTACACTTTGATGAGGCTTTTAAGTTTGTTTATTCGATATTGGAAATGGAAATGAATACTTTTCTCTACAATTTCAGTTAGTCATCATTTTTTGATGTTGCAAAAATGTTTCGATATTCGACTTGGACATGTATTCGAAATAATTTTATACAAGTTCAAAAATAGAAGATCTGAATACATTCTCGAATTCAAAAACAGAAAAAAAAAAAAATGACCGGAATGGAATGGAAATCATAAACGATGATTTTAATGTTCGCTTATGCTTAATAACCTAAACGAATTCAGCTTGGCATTCATATTTGCCACATCGGCCAGCAAATCACTAATCCCATGAGATCTCTTGGTCAGGTATCTTTGTGGATTGTGTGAACAACATGTTGGTTGTTGGCTTGTTGGCTTGTTCTCTGACAAATTAATAGTTGTTGGTGCTGGTAATTTTCAAAATTAATGAAAACGTTAAGCGTTTTCAGCAGCTTGTCAAAAGATGTGTAGATTCCGTTGCTTCACACTGTTTTCTAATCATCATCTGATCATCTTCATCGTGATGGCTTTTGCCTTGGATCGTTAGTGTTTTTTTTTTTTTAATATTATTATTCGATGTCTACTCGTTATGCATAATATACGAAAATCGTTTGGACGCTCCAAAAAAAAAAAGACAACAAATGCCTAAGAAACTTCAAGCTCTTCAAGTCCAAAATTAATTTATTGGACACGCCCAACTGACAGTTGCGGAGTGATGTCTTCTTCACTAGAGAACTGACGAGCCAAAATGATTGGTTTATTTCTTTTTGGAAACGAGTTTCTTCATGCCCGATGATCGTTTCATTAGCCATTCTTTTCATATGATGGAAATCGGTTTTATATGAAGATTTTGTTTGGTCTTCTGATAACTGGAGGTTCTTTACCTATTGCAAATCAAGGTCGAAACTTCATTTTAAATCTGTAACTAGGCACTGAAAACCTGCAGAAATCGAAGTTGAGTTCGCAACAAGACGTAAGATCTTTAAAATCAGCTTATCGCAAACCAAAAAAGGAGAATTCCACAATGAAATTATTTCAATCATTATTAAAAAAAAAAAAAAAAAAAAAAAAATAGAATTGGCTTGGGACTTGTTTTGAAAACAGCCAGCCACGCAGAATTCTATTTGACTGTGAGATCTGCATTCGAAATGAGGCACAGCTGGTTATAAATGTGATAATGCCCCCAAAACGGAACGACTAATTAAGCGAAGGTTAAACAGCGAAGGTGCATTAACATAATGAACTTTATATATCTGGGAAATAATCTCTTATGCCACTCAGAACTGTGAGACTAAGAACTAAGAACTGAAGGCTCATTTATCAAAAAGTTCCCACCAAATTAAAAAAAAAAAGAAATAAAAGATACATACAAAATGCGTTGGTGTCTCAACCAACATTTCCATCATTCAAGTTCCATACTCGTAATTTGATTAGCTTAAGAGCATATCGAATTCAGTTATCGAGGAGTGTGCTAGGGGTAGGGTGGTGGTAGGGGTTCGTTTCTGAGTCTGACGACCACTTTTCAACTCTTAAACTAGTCTTCGCGAATGGACTCCCAAATCGAACCGAACGAATGTCTCGCATATATTAACGTTTCAACTTCCATGCTTGATTTACAAAAAAAAAAAGCCAAAAAAAAAATATATTGTACGCTTCATAAAAAATGAATACGAGACAAAAAACAAAAAAAAAATTAAAAAAAAAAGAGATGAGAAATATACTTATAGTATATTTCTATATGTGACAGTCACAAACACACTCAATAAAAATCATTAAACTTAAACGCGTATGCTAATTTGATGATGGCGGTTTTCTAATTTGTTGTTTTCAACACACGCAAAAATAAGCACACACACACACACACACACACGCACACACACACACGCACACACACACAAATGCACATATACCCTGGCTGCCCAGCAAACCAGATTTCTATATGTGCCCTACAATGAGACTAAAGCCAAAGCCAAGGCCCAAAAACAGTTACATCATTTGCAGATTATGAGCTTTAAACTGAACTTAACCAAATTGAACTGATGTTGCCCCAACAACAGTTCAATATAATAATCGATATGTACGCAGAGCCCATAGATAACTGTACGCTGTAGATACCCTATACTACTACTACATTTGATGAGTCCAACTCAGCTTGTCTCTGAGTCCATTGGTTTTTGTCAATTGGCGAATAGATCTACATTTATCATACAATAATCTGTGCATGCCAATTTCGATCTGTTTAAATCAACTCTAATCGGCATCTGTAGTGATTACAGGGTATGTAGAACACGCAACGGGTTGACAACTTGCGTCGTCGTCGTCGTCGTTCTGTTCACAATGTCCGCATTGGTTCGTTGTCCGGTTCGGTTGGATCTTCTTTTTTACTGTTTGTTGTCAAATTTTTTTCTTTTTCTCTTTCTCGTTCTACGCTGCGACGCCGACAGCGCTGTTGGTGGTTGGCTTTATCAAAATACGATATATAAGGAAACAAGAAGTAGCAGCGTTTGTATTTATTTGTTAGAACCCGTGCACAACGCACCTCTCGCTGCGAGTCTCACAGTTCCAACTTGCAGTTCAGTGGCTCATCAATCGCACAATTCAGATACCAATTTTTTGTCATATTCACGCAAAAAACACACACAAAATCATGAAGAGTTTTGTAAGTTACAAAAAAAATCAAATAAAAATAAATATAAAAATATAAATATAAATATAAATAAATAAATAACAAACGATAATAGAACTAAATGATTGGTGACGAAAATCTAAAGAACACTCGATAAACATTCTAAAAGTATAAACAAATAAATGATCGGCATTATTAAATAAAGCATAAATCCTTGCGATGTGTAACATATTCGAAATATATTTTTTTATCGTGTTATTTTTGCTTGAAATTTGAATTTGTGAATGAATTAATTATGTGTATAAAGTGTGTCATTTTTTGTTTTAAAGAAAGGAAGAGTTTTAATTTAAATTATCCTTAAAAAAAAACTTCTGTATATATATAGTCAGTATTATATCAAAAAAATGACCATTAAGTGTGTACATCTATCGAATATTATCCTTTATAAGAATAATCAAATATAATGTCAAGATATCAACAATTTTAGAGCCAGCTTTGAACAAAATTTGAAACAAAAAGCCATTTTTGGGCTACATATTTTTATTATCTTTTTGCCGGCTTGCTAATTGATATGTCTATTTAGCTGGCGTGTTCCATAAAAAACTTGAGTTAATTGAATATTTACACTTTGATTTTTTGCGTAAAGAAACGCGTTTGAATTGCACTCGCTAATTGCTTCAGCCAGAGGGAGACAGAGAGTGAGAGGTAGATAGAGATAGATAGATGGATAGATAGATAGATAGATAGATAGATAGATAGATATAAAGAGAGCAAGGAATTCAAAAGGAAACTTCTAAGAAGAAATGTTCCTTAAAATTAGCTTTAATTACCTTAGCGCAAGCATTACAGACATAAGTGTAAAGCAAAAAGAGATCAACAACAAATTGGGAGCACTTACGACTTAAAAGAAACCCGAGGCTATCTGTAGGCGCCACAAAAAAAGAGAGACAAATATTGAAACGATTTCAACTGAGATCAAATAAATCAAAAGTCATTAGCCGCAGCCGCAGCCGCTGTCGCTGTCGCAGTCACAGCAGCAGCAGCAGCAACAAGTACAACGAAGACGCGCGAGACAAAGCGACGGCAGGCAAGGCAGCGTTTAAACACGCTAATAAAACGCCAGCAAATCGCACGCGCACGCCGCGTCTTTGATTAATTGCTGCGGTTTTTTTATGGCCACAATAAAAAATAAAAGAGGAGATGCATAAAAAATCGAAACATTAAATGTATAAGCAGACAACCCGTGTGACACTTGGCAAAGACCATCGATCAATCGTTTAAATAATAATGTGCATACAAAAAAAAAAAAAAAAAACAAACAAAAGATAAAAAAATATACAAATTACCATATTTGTCGTTTTTATTAACTGGTTTGGCACTTAAGTGACAGCATCGTTTATGGTCGCACAAAATACTTATCATCGAAACTAATTCTCATTATCTTGGTTCTCCTTTCCTCCTGCTTCTCTTCCTCTGCGTTGCCCCTTTAGCTGATTTTATGCTTTGTGGCGCTGGCGTTTGCCGATGTTAAGCACATCACAGATCGCAATGAGGCCCTGTTCAAATACAATCCCAGCGATATCTATACCCTGCCCGAAGACATCGATGAAGACAAGCCAGCTGTGCTGTTCAGCGGCGACGTAATGAAGGCCAAGACCGAGAAGTTCCAGAGCTACAATTCCGGCAAAAAGTTCAAACTCGAGTGAGTATATTTTCCACCTTGTTTAAGAACCAGAGAGTCCTCAACAAAGCCAGAATATATGTATTTCTAGTTCTCTTGCTGAAAGCCATAGTTTTAATCATATTCCAAAAAGTTGAAAAAATGTTCAAATTAATTGAAAATTTCAATTATATTTTCAAAATAGACTTAAAATGTAATTATAACAACAGACAGTTTTGTAGTTCTCTGTTTAGTTTTGTAAAAATGCTTCATTTCGATAGCTAATTAATCGATTAATCGATAATCAAACGTCATCTTTACAGATTGAAGACCCAGAACGGCATCGAGGTGAGCAGCGTGGGCAAATTGAAGGACGATAAGACCTTTGTGGTTAGTGGATCGTATTCGTTTACCGGTGCCGATGGCAAGCGCTACAAGACCCGTTATACAGCCGATGAGTTCGGTTATCATCCCATCACCGAGCTGGATCTGGATCTTCCCGAGTAAGTGCAGCATTTTGTAGAGACTCGACTTCATATGCTTATAATCATTTTATTTTGTGTGCAGCCCACAACCCTTGGCGACTGCCAATCAGAGGCCTGCCGTGGATCCCAGCAGCCTGTTGGGCAACAAGAATCGCTTCCAGTTCCTCCAGCAGAACCTCAATCTTGACCAGGGCGGCCCACTGCGCGGCAGCGGCCAGAGCGGCGATGATTACAGCTACAGTGCTCCCAGTGGAAACCGCAACGGACTCTCCTCCAATGGCAATGGCTACGATTATTCGCCTCCTGCAGAGCCCTCTCGCCTGTATTTGCCCACGGCATAAGTGAACCCTTCTGAGCCGCCCCCAATACCCTGTCCCCAACCCCAAATTTCATGTATTTAGTTTTAAGCACAACTCCCAACAGGAAATTTATTATTATAATTTTTTTTTTTTATCATCTTTTAGTGTTATATGTATACAAAAGTGCAAGATATGTCCTCTTAAACGATAGATAGATACCCCTTTCCCCTTCCCAATACCAACCACCCACAAATGACAGACAACTTATGAAATCGATGCAAATGAATATGACAATGAATCTATATATGAATATATATATGTATATACACTGAGTGATATTAGTAGTAAATAAAATGGCTAAAGTAAATTTCACTTCTTTAGTATTAGTATTATTATTCTACATTGTTTTCCTTGCAGCTCGATCTTTAGAATAGCCTGTGCACGCACCAGTCTGTCGCACTTGCCAGGTTTGTGCATTGGCTAAATTGCCTGTCGGCGACAAAAATGTGGCATACTTGTAGGCGCATCTCAGCATGCGACCACAAAATGGGCTATAACTCGGCCATATCCTGCGAATCGCAAGAACTGCATTCAAGGACTATGGGCTCAACCAAGACCCCAAAAACAAATCTCATTCACAGATCGAACGGAAATGAGTTGAAATCAGAAATGTTTGATTTCTTCGTTGATTTCTACAAGGACAAAAATGTGATTGTTATTTGGACAATTCGAGTTCCTGATGAAAACCAAATGTTGAATCTGCAAGCACTTGGCCGAGCTACTTTTCTATTCTATTTTTTTGATAGAATTCTTTTATCGTTCTTTTTAATTCAGCTCTTTGAATTACATTCATAAATTATACTGCTTTATTTGAGTTGACAGGCCAAGGTCCTCCTTGGTCCTCCTTGTGTATTTTTTCGCAGAATCCGTCGATTTTTCCTGTAGGAAACTTTATCTCTTTCTCTCGTTCTCTCTTAAAGGAGCAATTGCACCTCTTACAAATTGGAGTCTGAGTCAAGTTGCAGGTGCCTTGAAATTTAAATGACTCAATTTGCGAGCATCGCCTCAATGCGATCCCTCACCTCCACATATGCAGCGATGACCTCGTTTAGTGTTTTGGACATTCCCGTTCTCGACTTCCTATTTACATTGTTGCCATTGCCATCGTCGACGTCATCATCGTCGCTCTCATCTGTGTCCAAGTAGTAGCCGAGCTGATGATATCGCTGCTGCACCTTTCGCACAGCGAATAGCAATGTGCCCGTTGTGGTCATCGCCTTCGCAGGCTCGTCCTCCCAGCGATTGTGAAGAAGCTTGCCATGCAAAAGCCTCGTGTCGAAGTATTTAATGAAGTCGAAGAGCACTCGACCCCCAATAAAGTAGCGATTCAGTGCATCCCACCAGTTGCCCAAGGGACGAGAGCATTGCAGTCGCAATCCTCTGATGGCCTCCGGTGGCAACGGGCCCAGCAGCGAGCAGGAGAAATGTGCGTAGCCCTCGCAGCGCTCGCGCTGCCAGCTGTCGACGCTGATCACCTCGAAATAGATGTGCAGATGCTGATGCAACTGCAGCAGCTCCTCATCGCAGAGCAGTGTCAGCTGCCAGCAGTGGGACAAGTGAGCTACTTTTGTGGCACCACCAACTGCCACACAGCTGGCGGTGGTGCCGTGCATTGCGAACGGTTCGCTGCCATTCGCTGGCTCCAGCAGCGTGTGCGGCGGCAGATGCATATAGTAGCGCACATGGATATTGGCATATTCAAAGTGTTGCGCCTCGCGCAGCTCCATCAGCAGGGTGACGCGTCGCATGCGCTTTGGTGGTGCCACAAACTGTAGCAATCGACGTAGCTGTAGGCTTCTAAAGCGCTGCTGCCTAAAGTGATCCAACATCTGCTGCGATGTGGCATCGGCCGGGGGCAGCGTCATCTCTGGTTGCTCCGCCGCATGGAGGGGCTTACACGGCGCCGCCAACTCCACCACTTTCTTCAGTGGCGTCAGATTCTCAAAGCCATAGGCGTACAGTTGGCGGCAATCGTTGTCGATTTCCAGCACATAATCCATATCATTGGCACTGCAACAGAAATCGGGATAGACATGCAGCAGCCCATTTGCCGGCTGGTGGCCGATATACAGCAGCAAAGTCTCCTGCTGCAACTGGGCATACACGTACATCAGTTGAAAGCCATCGTCGAGCAGCTGTCGTGCCCCATCTGGCAGTTGTGAGTCCTCCATCAGCAACAGATCCGCATTGACCACAGTGTAGATGAGACAGGTGCGTGCCACAAAATTGTGTTCATCAGCCGGTGGAGTGGATCGCTCAACGGTATCAGCGGAATCGTTGCTGTGTTTCGATTTGCGGCCACGCTGCCGCAACTGCTGCTTCTGATTCCCCTCCATCTGCTTGCGCTGCATGTGCTGCTGATGCTGCTGCTGCAGCTTGAGAATTTGCTGCGTCCAACGATGATAGCGTCGCTGCAATGTTGTGTGGCACTTGCTCGCGTCCGCATAACGCTGCAGTTCGACGCGGCTGAAATGCTTCTGCTGCCAGCCAATGTACAAACTGGCAGTGGCGCCATTGCACAGCTCCCGATTCCACGATTGAAAGGCATCCAAAACTGGCGGCTCCAACGACTGCGACTGCGACTGAGCAGCAACTGAGATGTTGCTAATGCTGCGACTGCGAGCAGAGCTATTGCCCGAATTGTCATAGTTGTAGTAGCTGTAATAGTTATTGCCGCTCCGATCCTCATACGGCACGTAGATGCAAAAATCGAAGCCACTCTCTCGACTACTCTCTGGATAATAGCTAATGCTGCGCCGATTGGCGCCGGAATATTCAAATTTTGGCACTGGCAGCCACTCGCACAAATGGCGTAATTTGAGCTGCAGTTTGAAGTCGCTTGGGTTGCCGCAAATGCGATAAATGCCTGTGCGTTTGGGTGCGCTGCTCTTTAACATTGTGTCGCAATTGCTTTTGTGATTTTACATTTAGTTGTGTTTGTCCAATTTCTGTTTAATTTTTGGTATTTGTCGTTATGACAACGATAGCACAAACCGATTAGTCGATTAATTACTTAAACCAAAAAATACCAACAGCTCACATCATTTTGGTATTATTGTGAGTCGCATGGGGCTGCCAACTGGCGTCAGAGTGTGCGCGCGCTCTTTCGAGTGTGGCTATCTCTGTGTTGGTGTGCGTGCGTGAATATGTGCGCGCGCGTGTGTGTGTGTATGCTGGTTGGTTATAAGCTTTTCCACTGCGCTTGCCTGCAGTGTTTTATCGTCAGTTGCTTTTCGCATCGTCAGTTGTTATTTTGTAGCGCTGCGTGCTGGTCGTGCATATAACGCGTTTTTCATTTGTCACGCATTTCAATACATTTGTTGTTAACACATTTCTCGTTACGTTACGGTTCGTCTTTAGCTGTTTGTTTTTTTATGTTCTGCTGTTTTTTTTATACTTCTTGTTCAACTTGCGTTTTGTTGCTGCGCGCGCGCAGCTAACCAAAAGAAAAGCAGTAATACAACTGCAACTGTTAAACAATAACAATTGTAATAACTTCTTTATTTTAACTATTATTATTATTACTATTACTAGTTAACTGCTACTGTTCTTTTTATTATTAGTATTTTTATAAGTGAAAGTGTTTTCTTCTCTTGATTTACTTTTTGTTTTTAATTGTTTTATGTTTTATGTGTTCTTTCTAATTGCCCCAAATACTATTCTTGCAGCAAAGCATAACAAAGAACAACAACATATAAATCATAATCGACAGAATGCAGCAAAAAGCCGATGAGGTAAGTGTAATAAATACGCATAGACAAAATAGATAGATCGTTGAGTTGTTGCTGCAACGTTTTGTCGCTGGGCACACATCCTGTGCAACATTGTTGCTGAACTCGCATTTCTTTCGCCTTTGCTGGGCGCTGTGCGTTGAACTCTCCTTGAGCTCTCTTTACGGCGGTTGCCATTGCTTTTGTTGTTGCTGCTGCTGGTGCGGCTGGTGCTGCTTGTTCTTGTGCCGTGACGTTCCAATGACTGATTCTGGAATATCATCCACAGCAATAATAAACAGCCTCATTGTAGACCGTTTTTTTTTTCTCTGTTTTTCTGTTTGGCTTTTCATTAAAATTTGTTTTTTTCTTTTTTTTTTTTGTGTGCTTCACGCGTGTTTTATTGTTAGCGTCTCTGTTTTTTTGTTGTTTTTTGTTGTTTTTTTGTTTTGTCCTCGCACTATTTGCACAGTTGCTGTTCCAAAATTGTGATGCTCTTCTTAAAGCTTTTGCTTCTTCTCTTTCGAGGCTTTGAAGTCTGCTCTGCAGTTTTGGCCTTAGCGCAGTTTGCTTTCATGTTTCATGCCATTGTTTACAACATTTTTTTTCTTCTTGTGGCCGCAAAAGTCAAAGTCATGGCAACATTTTATTGTTGTTGTTGTTGCTTTCAGTGAAATTTCTTTAGCGCCGCACTTTTCGGGCGATTTCTTTGCCCGAAAACTTCTATTGTTTGCTTTGGCGTCTGCTGGTAATGCTGCCACTAATGTTGTGGTTGTTGTTGTTGTTGTTGCTGTTGTATTTGCTGTTGTTGCCGTTGCTGCCGTTGTTGTTGTTGTCATATGTCAACCCCGAGATGAGCACATAAAGATCTGTATCCACAAGTGTGCCACAAGTGCCAAGTTCAATAAACAAACTACAGACCCAGAAGTGACAGGCAACAAATAACAACAACAACTGACTGTCAAGAGTACCTGACTAGCAGATACCCTGCACTGATGTCATGTAAATAAAGATTTATTGAATTCACAATATTCTGTTTATCACAGACAATGCTTAACTTTAGAATTCATTGTTCTCTCATTATTCGTTCGGTTCGAATGGAATTGTTTACAATTTCAATGAGGCCGGAGGGGAAATTAAAATATATATTTATATATTTGAGGTGACAATCTCTTGTTGTAGTGGGAGATTTTGTTCTTGTCATACTTTGCTATGCCCAACATGATGATACTGTGATGACTACAGGATATTATGGCAACAAACCCACGCAGGCACAAGTCAACAGCTGTTTTTTTGTACAACTCATTTAACGCGCAGACGAATGACAATAAAAGCAACAGCAGCAAAACATAAATCGAGCTTGAGCCCGATCTTTAAGCCTGAGCGAAATTAATGTTCATGAGCCAAGTTTAAGATCGAAAGACGGAACCATTAAAAATAACATCTGATGGCTGATGGCTCGGTCTGGTCTGGTCTGTTGGTCTGTTCGTCTGTTGGTCTGTTGGTCTGTTTGCCTGTTGTGGCTTAAAAGTTGCATTTAGCCTTGCTGCAAGTAAAAGTCGAAAAACCTGTAGAGTGACAGTCAAAGGGGCTCTCAGGTGGGGAGCCGACCAACGGAAGATGACTGTCCATGACCCAAATAAATGGAACTAAACGAAATGCTACAAGATTAACAACAAAAAAAAAGAAATAGAGATAGATAGAAAGAGAGAGAGAGAGAGAGAGAGAGAGAGAATAGAGAGAGAGGGAATAGGGAAGATGGAAGATGGAAGAGGAAAACGGAGGTGAATAGTCAATAGTGAATATCAAATACCTGCTGACAAATTACCACACAGAGTTCAGATATTATATATCCTTGCTTATCTTATATATATTTGAGTTCCTTATAAATTGGATTCATTTGATGACAGAAAATCGAATTCATAAGTTTTTCTCAAATCAATTTTAGTATGTCAAAGTTAAGCAATTGCAACTTTTTGGAATTGTTGGTACAATTTCTGGTTAAAAATGTTAACATGACAAGTTTTGCCCTTCCAGGAATTGGCCACTTTTCTCATTACTAAATTTAGTTTTGCCAACTTTTTTATTTAAATATAATAAAATGCTTAGTTAACTTATTATAAAAATGAACTTGTTGTGTATTAAATGCCTGCAAAAACCGGTCAGAATTTGTTGTATTTTTTTTTTCTTCCATTCGTTTTTTATTTTATTTATTATTGTTTGTAGGCTGTTAAAAATTTCGCTTTTAGACAGCGACAAATTTTCTGAGCGACTCGATGCGATTTTTCTCGTTTTTTTTTTATTCGTTTCTTGCGGCAGTTTTCGCCGCCTGCCAATCGAAAGTAAAAATAGCCGAAAAACAACAAAAACCGGTCAAGTCAATAGATGCAAATAAAGCGAAATGCTGATGCAGATGCAGATGTCGATGCTGATGCAAATGCTAATGCACATTTTCAGCTAAATATCGGCTCGAAAAAGTTAATGAAATATTTAAAAAAAATACAGCCAAAAATGTAAAAAAAAAATGCAAAATCATCAATAATTAAGGCTAAGTAGCAAGCAAGATGTTGAGTGTGCAAGTATATGTGTGTGTGTGTGTGGGGGAAGGTAGTGTTTAGCTTAAAAAAAAAATACATTCCTCGATGGCAGTTGACGGTAATCAAAGCGAAAAACCCAAAACCTAAATCCAGACCCTAAAGCCAAAGTTAAAGACGCGCGGCTTTGAAGCCAAAGGCGTATCGGACCAAAGAACTCTTGACTCGAAATACAACTGTAATTACGTCTGGAGTGGGCAGCTAGAGGAGAAAATAGACATATATATATAGAGAGAGAGAGAGAGAGGGGAAGGGGGGGTCAGTCAACAGCAAACAGAGGCAAATGAAAAACGCAAACAGCTCGGACCGAAAAACAAACAAACAAAAAATGCGCCAAACTCGAAAACTTGTCGCTTGGCGATCGCCGAGCGAGCATTGAGCTGGGTGAAATGTAGAGGGGGGGGGGGAGGGGGGTATATGTGTGGGAGGGGAAGAAGAGGGTTCAAATGCGGAGTACAACTTGGGAGAATGTGGAGGTCAATGACTGGGTCAGCGACCCTTGACCTCCGCCAGATGTAGCTTGTTAATGTTCTCTGTGTTTGTGTGTGTGCTCAACAGGAGCGAATCAAGGAGAGAATGTGAGAATAAAAGAGCGAAGCTGAGAGACTGTCTTGTAAGAACTGGAGCAGCATTCGACTAAAACAAAGAAAGCTACAAATCAAAGTGCGATGATTTGATTCCTTGAGATTGATAACATCAATTAAATTCACCATGTGAATTACAATACATATGGAAATGAACTCGCAGCAAGAAATGGTTGAAATACAATTACTGTTTAGACTTCACATAGAGTGCCATATTTGTATGGCCAATATCTAAAATATGAGCCAAGAATGTGTTATAAAAAAAAAGTACCAAAACCAAATTAGTTTGGCATTTCCGTCTTTGTGTGTGATTCAACTATTTTATTTATCAGCTAGTAAAAAATGATCCAAAAATAAAATGCAAGTAAAACGAGCCAAAGTTGAATATTCTCTCGCTTCTTGCTGGAATACACGTTTCTTTAATCGAATGCTCTTAATTTCCGGGAATTTGAGACCGTATTCGACTGCATTTCGGTTGCACTGCGATCGTTTTGCCCATGATTATAAACAATGGCAAACAAAAGAAAAGAAGAAAGACATAAAAACTTATGCATCATAAATTTCACTATGGAGAAGAAGAAGAAAGAAAAAAAGCGTCTACAGTTTCATCAGTTCTGACAATGAACCCATTCGAAAAGAGACTTAAAATGTTACGAAATCATCATCAGCATAATAATAATCAAAACATACGCATAATAACAATAATAATGATATCGTAAAGCTCGCACAGATAGACCAAAATTTAACTGCCAAATTCAAATGAGGGGTGTTAAAAAGTGAATGTTTGCATTTTGTGGGTTGTGCGCTGTGCGCTGTGAACGTGTTGTGTTTATCGCTTATCGTTTATCGTTTATCTGCAAACATATGTCTGTGAATAGAAGACAAGACGGTTACCGTTAGGCGCACCATCTCGCTAAGCAACAACAAAACGCCCCACAACAATGCAACGATCTTTTTGAAAGTCTCCACTGAACTATATACGTATATATATATATATATATATATATTAGATGTTTATGTGTATGTGCGCATATTTATGCTCTGCTGTTATAATGCAGTCGCGTATTTAATTAATTGTGGCAACGCTTAGCGATTTACCGTTGCACCGCTCGACCGACTGACTTAATAGTCGTATAGTTCCCCCCCTGCCCCGCCCCCTCTCACTCTCTCACTCGCTTTTTTAAAAGTCGATTTTATAATACTGAAATCAATTTGGCATCAAGCATCAACAAACAACCAGCAACAACAACAGCAACAACAACAACAACAACAGCAACAACAACTACAGCAACCATGTCAACTCAATCATCAAAGTGAAAGAAGTCGTCACAGCACAGCTCGATTATCTCATAGATGCAATATGATTTCGGTATCAGGTTGGGATTCGTATTTAGTTTTTGGTTCGGGTTCGGCTTCGGCTTCGGCTTCGGGTTTGGGTTCGAGTTGTTTTGCTTGATTGCTGGGCAAAGCATAATTACTAATAAATAGGCTGCAATTAGTAAATTTGTTGATTTTGATTTGTGTAAGACCGATCCGATCCGAGCCGATCCGTATGCTATAATTTTCTGTCATCTGTCTTCTTTTCCCCTCGATTTTGGTTTATTGATTCACGACCTGCGATTATCTTTTGATTGACGCAATCGCCAGCGACAGCTAAAAAAGCAAAAAAAAAAAAAAAATGCTGGCATGCCGTATCGATAAACTATATATTTTTCGAGGGAGATAGAACGTGCTCCGTTTGATATGATAAAATGTTTACGTTGCGTCTTCTTTAGCGCATTGCTCAAGGCCTTATTATTTTTATCTTTTATTCTTTAGTTATTTCAGAATTCATTTCTCTTGATAT